GATTCCGGCCGTGAAAGCCTTCGACAATACAATTTAAGTCAACTTTGCTATATGTGAGATATGCAAATATGTTGGAGAAGTTTCTGAGGTGATATAAATCAAATCAGCCCAATAATTTCTGGAGATGTATGATTATTTGCCCCAGATAGAGGTTATTGCTTTTTTTAAGAAACAATGTTCTGTTGAAGCAAATCTTAGATACCGAGATTTACTAATGCTGCTACTGGGTTCATGGTTACAGTATATTTTCCAGAGCATTTATGCTCAAATGAAAATTAGATTTCATTGTGAATTTGAAACTTTTCTTTCTAACTGTCCACCATAATTATTTTCCAATGCATCACCCTAACATGTTTTGCGTCTAAAGTTATAATAATCCACAGGAGGGAAGTACTAAATCTCTGATGTTGCTACTGAAAATAGCAATAGCAAGAAAATGAAAAGAAGTCAGTATGTGGGACTTTATTTGAAGAAGCAACTGAAGATTAAGCCTCTTAAGAAGAAGAAAAAGATGTTCAAAGTGGACTTATTTGACCAGGGTTAAATTGTATAGATTTTGATTTTGCGTTGTTATTATTGGGATGTTTTTTTTTCCCAGATTACAAAACGATTTAAGGATTTTTTAATATCTTTTACCTTCTACTTGTTAGAGAAAATTATGGGTTAGAATGTAAAAGGGATCTATTTGATCTAGTTTAAAATATATATGTTACTATTATTGACACTTTTTATACCTATGGGGATAAATCTTTTATGTCTTATTAGAGAATGTTATAAGTCACAATGCAAAATAGATTTATTTGTCTAAGCTTAAAACATATAGGTTACTATTACTAGTACTCTTAATGCTTTTGCTCAGTAAGACTGATTGATGAATCTTTCTATAATTTGGTTATTGCTTAGTGATGAGAAATGGGAAGAAGAGTTTTTTATTATTTCTGTAAAATTGGAGAAGGTGTTAAGTTGCTGTAAATGCTTATACTTGTTTGGAGGGAGGGGGAGCCACTTTTTATATGTCTTTTTCTTTTTTCTTTTTCTTTTTCTTTCTCTTATTCTCTTTCTTCATTTTTGTATATCTTTTCTAATTCTGTATTAGCTTTTAACTATGTAAAACTCTAATAAAAATATTAAAAAATAAAGTTATAATGATCAGGTATGGATAACAATTTCTGAACAAACAGAAGACTTTTGCCAACAGGTCTGTTACACTGTATTATGTTCTATCATGATCTATGTTAGGACAATGCTGGATTCTGCTTTTCCAAGCAGAACAGTAGATTAGGGAGGGTGATAAAGCAACCCTGTGCTGCTCTGACCAATTTATCTTCTATGAGGCACTACCACTCTCCCCTTCCTATTTAAACAAGCGTGCCACTGGATAAAACAACTGTATGGAAACACCTGAAGAGCCACCGAATGTTTGGCTAAGTTCACAGTAACTACGGTTGGTTTGTTTAACTATGATTTTTTACAATATTTGGCCAGGTTCCCTTTATGCTAAACCAAAGTCAAGCACATTATGTAATATTGATGTCTACAACTAACCACAATGATGCCATAATGTTGAAATATGCATTGTGCGATCATGGTGCAAGCTTCACTCTTTTTATTTGCATCACAGTGTGCCTATGTTACATGATGGCTTAGGGTGATTGTGAGTCTAATCTCATATTTCCAGTCTTGATGGGTAGCAGGTCTCAAATTCATTCCATAAGGACTCAGGTGAACATTGTATTGTCGAAGGCTTTCACGGCCAGCATATGAAGGCTGGTGTGGGTCTTCCGGGCTGTGTGGCCGTGTTCTGGAAGTTTTGTTTCCTAACGTTTCGCCAGCATCTGTGACCGGCATCTTCAGATCCCTCCCCCTTTAGATCTCTATAAATACCCACAAAAGGGTCACATCATCCTGGGCACAGAGAGAACTGGTCCTGTCTGTGCTCCTGCACTCTGAAGATGCCGGTCACAGATGCTGGCGAAATGTTAGGAAACAAAATTTCCAGAATACGGCCACACAGCCCGGAAGACCCACACCAGCCTTCTCAGGTGAACACCTTTCTGATTCCCGGAGCTGAATCTGGGTCTTATTTTTGCACTCTGCCACTTAACTAAAAAACTTCTCCAGCATGACAAGAAGATTACAAGCACATTCAAAAAAATTAGACATTGCCAAAAATTTACTTTTTTTCCCCCAAACGTCTTTTTTTGTTTTTTTGTTTTTCCAAAACTTAATTTTGTTGCAAACAGCAAAGAAGAATGTACAGTATATATTAGTTTTCACTGCGGACATATTCTCCTTGTGCTATGTAGACTAAAAATTATTTCAAGCATAGACAATGTGGTATGGATTGAAACTGAACTATGAATGAATTATTAGACATTGAGACAGTACAAACACATAAAGCAATACTCCCAATAATTCCACTTAAATTATAAAATAGTTTTCATGTTGAACTGCTATCATTCACAGGTGAAATGTGTCACATCTTAAAATAACAAAGAGTAATTATCATTTTACAAAGTAAAAATTGACCCTTGTCTATATGCTACAATTACGGCTGGAACTGAACAAAGAGAAGTTCATTCATGCTTTTCTGCAAGGGCTAAAATCCAACTACATCTATTCATTTCCAATACAGTGGTAGAGGATAAGTTCTTTTTAAATGTTATAAAGAAATACAGTGGTATCTCGGTTCACGAACTTAATTCGTTCCGCGACTCTGGTCGCGACCCGAATTTGTCGCGACCTGAATCAAATTTTCCCATAAGGTTCCATGTAAATAAGGTTAATCCGTTCTTAACCATATTTTTT